TTTTATGAGGCCATTAGCTTTTCTTGACTCTACTTGTACTTTTTATATAAAGCAAACAAGACTTTCCCAAAATTAGCATGATCATTCACAGAAGTCAGCAAAAGCCAGATGATAACCTAACATTTACTGAACTATCACACTGTTATTTTAATATCTAACACACACTTACTGAACTAATATCTAGCATTACTATGCTAATAACATTGCTTTAATTGTCCCATTTACTAATTGAATTGACTCAGACAGATACTTATATTATTCCTTCATTTTACAAATGAACAGAATGAGACTTTGAAAGACTCTGTATTGTGGCCGAGATCACCCTGTCAGTGACCATTCAACTGCACTGCCTTCCTACAAAATCCCACACGTGGAAATAACACAACGCCTCTAAACTTCACTTAATCGCCCTAGGCCTAATGAACCTTCCTCACGTGCAGAACCATCTGTCTTTCTTGTCATCCTTTCCTGAGAGGCCTGTTGCAGAATAGCGAAGGTGGTGGTTAAGGTTACAATTTCAAGCCCTTGAAAACAACTGTAAATTAAACTACAAAAGTCTGCTATAACTGGAAGGGTCCTATCACAGGGTGTGCTTCAAGTCCTTGAAGCTTCAAGCGACCTTGGTGATCATCCCACCCAAGCCGTAATTTTAGAGATGAAGTAAGTGAGCCCCAGTAGTTGTAAGCAACTTGCCCCAGTTATGGTGTTGGTTGGTGACAGAGGTGGACCTAGACCCCACGGTTCCTGACTATCAGTTCTGTAGTCTCTCATTTCATCACTGTGCCATTCATTTTTACCTGAGTCATTTTGAAGATAAAGCCTTCTAAATACAGAAAACCAAATGGTACCATTTAACCCACTTTTTGCATTAATAGCAGCGTTTTGGCTCAGGAATCATTTAATGTGAATTATAGTATGAGACCATTCCATCACTGCTGCCTTAAAGTGCAATAGTTGTGTTTCACTTGGACTGTGTTTCAGAAGGTAATGGAAGTAAGTGAATTTTTAAATTGAAAATTCCAACCTCAGCAGTTTGTTGCTTTGCTGTTTCCCATCTAGTCTGCATGATAAGATTATTCATGAGGCACTTTCATCACTGCAGGAAATTTTGCACTTGAATGTGTTCTGAGTGGAGCTGATGTCGCTGCAGTGTCTTCTCCAGGACCCCTCTCTGACATAATGGTGGCCTAACTGTTCATCTGTCTCTCCTCCCTCCAGCATGGCACCACGCTCCTCATGGTCGCCTCCTATGCTGGTCACATAGACTGTGTAAGGGAGCTGGTTCTGCAAGGAGCGGACATCAATCTCCAGAGAGAGGTAGGTTAGGTTTTACACTTGTCTGAAGACGACCAGGCTAAGAGATCTGAAGTTTTCATAATAGTGAACTGGTAAGGAGCACAAAAGTCACTGGTGCTTTTCTCCTACATTAAAGCCCATTGCAGAGTTAATTGTGCCTAAAATAAGGTCCAGGAATGGACCGTCGGTGGTTCTGTAGTTGAGTGTATTTTGTCAGGCACGTCTGAGGTAACCAGACCTTTCACCACACTTTTCAAACACTCATACATTTTGTCTCAAGCTCAAATTAGTTCTTCCTTCCTCCCTTGGGATGAGATGCCATAGAATACATAGGATTTTCATAGAGATCATTAGATTTTTAGGTTTGAATCACCAACCTATTCGTAATGGGACTCATTTGCTAGGACCTCTTAGTCATCTTTGCTGAACCATGTTTTCAAAGGACTTTTCTGACTGGCCATATATTAAATAAGCTGTCCCCCAAAAAACATGTGGGTGAACATTGGACTAAAATGTGAGTCTGTTGCCGTACTTCATTCGAGGGAAATCTCAAGAGTTTGATCTCACCAGAGGATCTATTCTGAAGATCTCACCGATCTACAGAAGCAGTAGGGAGGCTGGGGCGTTCTAACATACTTTGGGGTTCAGGTCTGAGGTGGCGCCATATATTTCCTAACTGACATAAGACCCGGTCAACTAACCTTTATGGAGACACATGCTCAGGTCATCCCCAGAGTGAATCTGACCTCTCGGTTCACACTGACTCAGACCTGAGATGGACATCCTGGGCAAGCTCCCAACCAGGCTGGAGCATTGGTTTTCCTTGGTCCAGTCTCATCCCAGGACCTGCTTTGCAATTCGTGTTTCTGAAGACAATTCATCAGCCAAACTTTCATCAATCCAAAATGCCCCATTCTTCCTGTCAGGACCGACACCGCTACGTGGAGCAAATTAGACACACCAGGTTTAAGGGCTGTGTCAGGAGTACCAAGGAACATCCAGAAGTCCCTGCTATCATCCTTCTGGGTGTTGGAGGCCTTGGCTGTGGACCATGAAAGAGTGACAAGTGACACTTGGCTGCGGCTCCTGGGGTCTGGTTCTCTGTAGCCCTGGATCAGCAAGACTCATCCATTGAAAGGAACGGTACAGAGGGACTACTGCAAATTCAATCAATCTTTTCACAAATAGATTCGTTTAAGCAATTTTCATAACACTAGATCATTGTTTTAGGCCATTTTCACTTCAGCATTTAATTTCCCCCTGGGATGAAAATGTTTGGACCCATTTAGCTTTATAGTTTAAAATTACCCTTATCTTTTTATTTTTCTTCTGTGCTTATAGTCCTTGTTTATTGTAACTTTAAAGAAAAGACAAGTTTTCTTTAATGAAACAATGTGGTCCAGATTTGCTTATTCGAAAAACTTTATCCTGAAGGGCAGGTTTGACATGCACAAAAGTCTCTTTAGAACAACTGAGAAAAAGCAAAAGGCAGGGAGGAATATTTGATTTCTAGCCAATGTACAGTTTTTATGGTTTTATATTTATCTTTTTGGTTCCAATTGCTGAACTAATCTTAGAGATGAAAACTCTTGTATACTGAGAACAATAGCCCTTGAGGACTTACCAAAGTGTACTCAGTTTAGAGGTAACCTGTGTGGCTCAAATGATGATGCTGTATAAGTTCCTGGTGGTCCCCTGCGTTTCCTGAGACCATGCCAATCTGGGGTGATAGAGCTGCTAAGCCAGATGGGGGACTCCAACCTCACTCACCTGTTTTGGAAGCTGAAAGAGAGTGCCTTGCACTGCTTTGGAACTTACTCTTATAGCAGTTTTCTACCTTAGTCCATTGTTAATCCATTTTGCGGTATCAGAAAATTTGTTTCCTGAAAAAGTACCTGCCATTGTTCTGAGGCTGGCTATCTAGATACACCGAGCTTGCTAGAGAGACAAACTGAAAGCTAATGGTCCTGAAAGACCATCGCTTTAGAGAGCCAGCAGTATTGGCTGATCATAACTGTCAGGCGTAGGAGCTGCAAATGCAGTTGGCCTGAAGCCCTGGGTTTCAGTAGTAAAGCACACACATTTAAGACCTTTATTCACATTCCAGACTGAAGTCTAGCTCCTGTTATAATACAGATTATAATAAAACAGATTATATAATGCAGATTGCTGCATTAATTTGCATAATGATTGATAGTATGTTCCGAAATTGGCTCAAACTGCTGTAATTATTTGTGTAATTAATGTGTCAAGAAAGTTTCTTGAAAAACATATTCTTTCTCTTAATAAAGAAACACCTCCTAGAAAGAGCCCCTGATAGTCTCTAAAATTTAATGTATATTAAGAAGGTGAGAGTTTTCCTATTCTAGCCAAGTTTCTTCATCCAGACCTGTTTACACCTTAAGGTTTCTGGAACCGGCCATCCTCCACTGTGAGAAAGCAAAGGGAGAAATCTTCCCACTGGTTTCTGTGGAAACCAAGGAGAAGGTCCCTCCTGCACTGTGGGTAAAGGCTCTGCGATGGCCACATTGCCTGTGCCTTCCTGGGGCAGAGTCTGGTTAGGGGCACAGCCTGAGATAGAGGGTCAGATCTGGGAAGGTGTGTGGTGTTCTGCCTCAGTGGTGGGTCTCATTGCTTCCCACCATGCACGCACACAAACCCACACATGCACACAGATGTGCACGCACACACACAGGCCCTTAAGAACGCATAAGACATGCTATCCTCAGCTTCTCACACCTGAGCGAGAACCTACCACCTGAACAGTTCTGGGTAAGTTGTGGAAAGAAGGGTGTCTTTTTACTGTGCCTGGGAAAGTGTAGTATGTATTAGCATCATCCCAAGCTCAAAGAATGGAAGTGAGATATATACTGCCCACAAGAGCGGCATTGTAATTTTGCTATTATTACCCAATGATTTGGGTACCAAACTTTGAGTAAATTTGTAAAAGTGGCTGGGAAGGAAGGATGCAAAAAATTGTGTCTCAGAATATCATAATTGGTTTAAAATTTGGAATCAGCCTCCTGCATGGCAGACAGAAAGTCTTCTTGTTAATATGTCTGATTTTGAGAAATGGCAAAAGATGTGATTAACAATTTTGAAGAGGTCATGGAAAAATAGAATTGAAAGAAAATATGAATCTTTCCACGAACTTTTTGAAGTGCCATTTTTTACTCTGGGCTCACAATTAGAGAAGTCTGTGGGTGAATTATTTAGACTCTTTCTTGCACTGGTAGCTTTTTTTCTCTGGGACACTAAATTTTATAAACAGAATTCTACCAGAATTCTTTTCTGTATTAATGAATGCTAGTGTTTCCCAGACATTATGCCAAATGTATTCATTTTTTGTGGCTGCTGTAACTAATTGCCACAAACTTGGTGGCTTAAAACAACAAGAATTTATTTTCTCACAGTTCTGCAGGCCAGAAGTTCAAAATCAAGGTGTGGGCAGGGCCACACTCTCTTTGGAGGCTCCAGGGGAGAACTTATTCCTCACCTCTTCCAGCTTCTGTTGGCTCTCAGGGCCACAGCACTCCAGCCTCTGCCTCTGTGGTCACGTTGCCTCTTCACTATGTCAAATATCGTTCTGCCTCATTCTTTTTTTTTTTTTTTCTTTTTTTTTTGTCTTTTGACTTTTTCCGTGTCCGGCAACGGATCGCAACCCTCAGTGTTGCCCCTGTACCAGACCGGACCGGCAACGGGACCGCAACCCTCGGTGCTGCTCCCGCACCTCGCTCAGCCGGTGGGGGGCCGGTCTGTAGGTGGGGTCT